AAAACAAAATAGATACAATTCGGGATCAGATCGCCACTGTCCAATCAACTTCCCCTATTAATGTACCAGACCCTCACTATCCAAATCCTGCCGCCTTCACCTTCGTAACATCTCCAAAATACGCCAATGACACCGCAAAATTACTCATCCACTCCCTTGTTATTTCTCGTCTTGACTATTCCAACTCCTTCCTCATTGGCCTTCCACTACACAGGCTCCTCCCCCCTTCAGTCTATCATGAATGCAGCTGCTAGACTCATCCACCTGACCGCTCAGTGTCTGCAACCCCCCTCTGCCGATCCCTCCACTGGCTTCCATCACGGATATATCTTAGACCTTGTCTCAAAATATCACCCTAACCGTCCACTCCGCTCTTCCCAAGACCTCCTGCTTTCCAGCTCCCTAGTCAACTCCTCACATACTCACCTCCACGACTTCTCTAGAGTCTCTCCCATTCTCTGGAACTCTTTACCCCAACCTGTCCGTCTATCTCCCACTGACTGCCTTTAGGCGATCCCTAAAGACTCATCTCTTCAGGGAAGCCTATCCCACCTCAACCTAACCGCTCAACCATCACCTTCCAATACAATTCATCCCCACACAGACACCTCCTCATGTATCATTTCCCCCTCCCTTTTTAGATTGTAAGCCCTCAGGGGCAGGGCCCACCTCACCATCTTGTCTTGAATTGTATTGTAAAGGGCTGCGCAAACTGTTGGCACTATATAAATCCTGTATAATAATATGAAATGGGGGTGGGATAATTTAGACTACAACTATTCATGCAGAGCTCTCAGTGTGATACAAATTCAGCCAAGCAAACCCAATGGGCTCAAAAGTTTGAATGTTATGAAGCAACGAGCAGGCACATTGAGATAAACATTGGCGTCATCCAGATCGGTCACATGTCATGTCTGTAGCCATCAGAACATTTCAATCCTCTACTACTAGCAGTCTATTAAAAAAAAAGAAGAGGAGACGAGGGCGGATTTAATAAAAAAAGAGAAATAAAACTTTATTTGTAGTGTATAAAAGAGTCTAAAAACAACGTGACTAAAGAAGAACAATGAGCAGCTAGTAAAACGGAGTCTGGAGCTTCCGTGACATCACAACTATGAATATCATGGTCACCGTTAACCTTTTAGAAGTTCAGAATTCTGTTGCGCTGACTGAAATGAGGAACGAGATTTGCATGTGCGTGAAGGAAGAGCAGTACGCCTCCCATAATGCTGCAACAGCCATTGGCTGACAAGGCTTGCTGGGGGTTTTAGTTCCACAAAAGGTCAGAAGAGCCTCAATCCTCATCAGGTTATTGCATGCGTTCTCTAGCACCACCTAGTGGCTGCCGGCTCATACAGCACAACCAAAACTACTGCAACTTTTAAAAAAAAGATCATTATTGGGGTGGACATTCAGAACCAAATAACTGAAAGCAACGCATCTATGGCAGCGGTGGTCAACTCCGGCCCTCCAGCTGTTGTGGAACTACAAGTCCCAGGAGGCATTGAAAGGCTGACAGTTCCAGGCATGACTCCCAGAGGCATGCTGGGATTTGTAGTTAAAGCACAGCCAGAGGGCTGGAGTTGCCCAGCCCTGGTCTATGACATTATAGCTACCACGTATGCAGTACCATAAAAAGCAAGAACAGAAAACCTGGATAAAACATCTATATAGGACGAAGACGGCAAAAGCAACGGAGAGCTTGTCACAGCTCGCATATATAAATACACAACCAAAAATCATACAAAACAACTCTACAGAAAGGAGAATAAAAAGTGTAAAAAAAAAAAAAAAGCATTTTGTTTTAATGGGTTAGATTTTTCCTGCATCAGAAGGACCAGGCCTACTGTAATCCTAAGCAGTAACATACATGGGGGGATCCAGTTTATAAGGAATCATGGGAGCTTCCAATAGTGTTAGTGAGTCGCTGATCTGCAACAAGTACATACCAGTTAAGTCGGGACCCCTAACCTGCGTATTCCATGCCGGCGACTCAGGGGTGGCCAATCTCAGCACTCCAGCTGTTGTGGAACTACAAGTCCCATAAGGCATTGCCAGACTGGCAGCCACATGTATGACTCCCAGAGGAATGATGGGGTTGCCTACCACTCCATTAAATAGTAAAGGAAGGGCGGGGGTGACCTCCCTGAAGCCTGTACCTTTAATACAGAAAATAGAGGCAGACCCCATATGTTCTGACAGGTTCACTCTACAACCATAAGCAAAAAGGTGAAGCAAGACTAAAGTCAAAAACAGGCTAAAGCCACTACCGTTTCCATAAGAACACACATTGAAGCTCTGGAAAACCCGTGTGCTACCTCCAGATCTGATTAGCCTTTGCTTGTGTGACACTTCTCCGCTGTGGTCAGGGGCGGGTTCTGTGTGAAGCCGCCAATCAATGCCTCTGCCTCACAAAGAAAGTACCCATGGCCCTTGGTGGAGAAGCCGAAGGGGGTCTATTTCTGACCAGTTCACAGAGCCATTCACCCTACAAATCTTTCTGAACATTCACTGTGTGTATAGGAGGCAAAACTGAATACACTTTCTTTTCCAATCGGATGTAGGTAATGTAATACTGCATTGTGGCCACTAGGTGGAGGTGATGAGCAAAGGAAAGATTCATATGCTCCTCAGCTCCTTCTAGTGGCCAAAATGCAGTATTACACTACATTTGATAAGAGGTTTTTTCATCTATTTACACGGAAGAAACCTTCATAAAGATGTGTAGGGTTAATAGCTCTATGTATTGTTCAGAAATAGACCCCAAGTTTACCAGAAGCTGGATGCATCCAGAGGGAGCCCCTTTCAGCAAGGCACTAATGTTTTTTCTTATGGAAACATCAGAGAGATGATCCACTTAAAGCGGACATCTATACAGCCTGGTGACTTCAAGGGCTGTTCCATCCTTTGCTGGGTTATACTTTCCATCAACTTTTCTAACTGCTTCACTTTTCCCTACAAGATCCCTACTGCTCATGTTGGTCATGTATCGATCGGCTTCTTCAGCTGCCACAACAAATCGCTCTAGGGGTACAGCAAAAATCTGCTTTCCAGAGTCCAGCCCCATGGCAATGGAATACACCATTCAGTGCGGTCTCATATGTATCTAGAACACAAAAGGAAGCTACAACTAGCTAAAAGTTGCAGATCAGAACGTACCAGAAAGTAATCTGTGATCTGATCTAGGAGGATGGAAAATCCCTTAAAAAAATGGCTCAGCCGGGTGTCTGTAAAGGAAATATATAAAAGCACAATTCATGCCCTGTGCCCCCTGAGCTCAGAATGGGGATCTGCAATCCTTGCATGGCCTGTAGATAGGGACAACTCTCTGACCACACAGGCCTGATGTATCAGCATAACTGGAGTCATGACCCCCAGACAATCGAATTTCAAGGCAGGTTTGAATTAGTTTGGGTACCTGAAGAGTTCCCGGTATGCCCGCGGTGATACATCAGGTCTATGAAGGTCGGGCTTGTCCAGTCCAGAGAGACCACTTTAGTTTCACCTCCCTGGAACCGGTGTTGGCATATATGCTTCAACTTTCACATGGTATGCAAGAATTTCCTAGTCTACACCCAAACCGAGAGGGACAAAAGAGCTCCCGAGTGCTCCCCCCCGTACACAACACAGCAGGTCCTAAGACACATGACTGACCCACTTTAAACATGCTTACAGTGCTGATCTGTGATAATGCAAGATTCAGTGAGGCAATGCAAGGAACAGCAACCAAATCTCACTGATGTTAGTGATGTCACATTAAAGGGAACCTGTCAGAAAAGCCTTGTACTGCTCTACCAGACAAGAGCAATGCTAGTCTTCAAGGGGTGTACAGTGCTTGATGTCCAGCTCTGGAACTAGCACAGCTTCTGAAGTTTGGGAAATGTCCAGATGGGGGCCCCGGCTGTAATAGGTAACCACCATAAAACGATGCCTTCAGAAAATCATTTTCCATAGGCTGCTTCTGGGGTCTGCATCCTGCACATGCTCACAGCTTTTAGACTGACTTTATTACGGCTTGCATATTAACGGTAAAAGAAAAGGAGAACAAATGCCTGAAGATCACATACCTGACATTAAATCACAAAACTATAAATAAAACAAATCTTAAAATATATTTGTAAAGGACATCAATGACAGTCATTGGATGGCCTGTACCGTGAGATGGTGACAACACATAGGAAGGTGAAAAAATACTGATGGGGGAGTGGGGCTTTCCAGGAACCAATACCAGCCAATCACGTTTGAAGAGTTCCGAGGAATCGAAACACTGATTGGCTGGTTTGGGTACCTGTGTTTCCTACAAGACCCGTTAGCAAATAAGACTTAAAAAAGGGACAAAATTCATATTGGATGTGGAGCCGCTAATAGCTCGGTATCTGCCAAACAGCTAAAAAGAAGTGATGGACATTAAGGAGGAAGGTGGACGTGTCTTAGGAGAGGCCTTTGGTTTGTGCTCAACTAGTAAAGTGCAGCAGTCATGCGAAAAAGCAACTCTCAGGTCCCCAAAACTTGTCAGTCTGTCTTGCTTGTAGTAAACTAAAACAGCCACTAGGTGGCGATCCGTTACCCTGGGACTGATCAGTTCACATCTCAGCAAGGCAGCTGCAATGGACATAAGGGAGACCCAGTGGGTGACCCTGGGTGCTTTCTCAAGGACCGACATCTAAATAGAAGAAACATTTTTAGAACAAATACATGTGTTTATGACTTTCAAAACGGATGTGTCCATAGTATTTCATTAAAATATTTCCTCTGCATTAAAAATATCTCTTATAAAACTACATTTTACTCTTTGTTTAAAAGGACATTGAACAGTACCATATATAAAAGGGAGTGGACATCTCTTATTCCTGCTGACTGGCTGAACGGCAGTGCCCATGAGGCTGCGCCAGGCTTAGTATGCCACATGACACTTTGGCCAATCAGCAGGACATAAAGATGCTCATCGGTGTATAAAGTAAGCGATACGACCACATTCCCTTACAAAGAAGGTGAAATAATAGTGATTGTCTGTAGAGTGGGGGCTGTGAGGGAGCGTGCAGGGGCATTATGGGACAGTTTCTGGGTTATATCTACATGGCGTTAAAAAGGCGGCAGCAATGGATAAAAAGGCAGCTCCCCTTCACTAAAGGGGAGATTCATTGGATAAAAACACTTGCCAGGCTCCCTAGGCAGGAGAGAGACCAAGGATATCAAAAGATAGATCCCTAATCCCCGTTATTAGGATACTGGGCTCCCCGCAGGGTCTGGCAGCCCATAGCTTATTTGAGGCCTAGCGTTCTATCCTGTAGTTTGTTCTGAAATGTCTATAGCTCTCAGCAGGTTCAGGAAAGGCTCTGACGCTTCTCAGAGCTGATGTATCTGGGCAGCAAGGAGGTGCGGGAAAGCTGGCTGCGTCTGGCGTTGGTGGCGAGCCGCTGTTGAGCCAGGAAGGATTGGGCGCCGTTGGCGACCTGAGTCCTCTCATCTGTGATCTTCTGCTGGAGAGTCATGCCCTGGAAAGAAAGAAAGGAGCCATTAAGGCTGACGTCTAATCTTATATTTTACCTTCCTTGGTTCCTCCTTTCCCCTCATCACATGCTAATTAAATGATAAAACCGCTCAGTTTTTATGACATCCCTTATTTTAGAACCAGTGATGTCATTATTGGGTCTTTGTGCCTCCCTATGCAATGCAGGCAGATCCTGGCTGGTGGGAGATGCTGGAAGGGTCCTGTAAATAGCTTATTGAAAACAGGAAGCTGTGGTGATGCCCACATGTGATGCGAAGTCTCCATGCAAGAACTGAAATCCAATGAATGAAAGGGGAGGGCCAGGGACAGCCAGGCTGGAGAGGAAAGGGCTACATGGTGCTGGATGTCCTCTAGCCGGGAAATGAGGCGGGCTCTAGCTGACTTTCTGTAGCTTCTAATACAAATTGTGAGAAACTCAGGGTGCAGAGAAATCAGAGTAAGATAGGTCAGTGCAGGAGAGGAGCCGGTACAACCGCGCAAGACTGAAGGGAAGGTTGGAGTTCAGCTTTAAAGTGACAATAAAAAGTCAAAAGAATTTTAAGCCATTTCAAATGCTGATGAAATCACTTACAATGGACGCTGCTCCTTGATGTTTAGCAGTTTTAGTTTGCCCCCTGAGCACTGGCCCTGATATCCTGTTTTAGAGTGACTCTTTTCTCTCCATTGCAACACTGATACCATGTACCGTGACTAATGTGCAGTAAGAGGCAGAATATTCTGACCAGAGGAATGTTCTAAACCAAGCGTAGCCAAACTCAGCTGTGGTGGAACTACAAATCCCATGAGGCATTGTAAGATTCTCACAGCCACGACTCTTGGAGAGAGATGCATCATGGAATTTGTAGTTTCACCACAGCTGGAGGGCCGGAGTTTGGCTACCCCTGCTCTAAACGCTGCCAATGCACCAGTGGCAAAAATGTACAAACTATAGAGGTTGTAACTAACCCTCAGGAGGCAAGGGTTGCCAGCTGTTAGTGGGGTTCAGGGGTCTCTGCACACTGCTACTGGGCACATAAAGGCTTCCAGTGTGCACACAATGACATCGCTGTACAATTATTCACAAATGAGACTCACTCACCATATTATACCAGGCACTTATTATAAGTTTTTCTTCTTGGTCTCGCTGAGATTTTGTCTTCTCAAAGTCATTCTGCAAGGAGAGGGGAAAAAAAACTAAAGCATTATCTTTACCTTGCTTTAGGAGGAATAAAAGCAACAAAGGAGGCGAAACAAAAGATCACTCATAAGAAAGGCAATGATTGTTAGCACAGTGTACTAAAGATACGGTTCAATGGCATGATGTATACAGTCCTGTGTGTATGGAAACATTAAACACTTGGGGGAACTCCGGAAGGGTTCCAGGGCACAGAGTGAATCCCCTTAACAAGTTTAAAGCAAAACTCCAGAATATCTACATTCTGCTTTTAAATTGGAAGCCTGATTTACCCATTTCCTGTTCAGATACAAAATGGCGCCCCTCTTGCTCACCTCTAAATGCCGGATTCGCGTCTGCTTCTCCTGTAGCTGGTTCTTTAGGGCCTGGACTTCAGGAGCGACGTAATTCTGCTGTCTGGGCTCCAAAGTCTTAATAACCTGCACATACAAGAAATATCTGCAATAGTACCACAGCCTGTAACCAATACCGTTACCGGGTTATTGGGCCATCAAATAAACATTTCATATCCTGACAAGAGTAATACATCAGTTAAAGGATCAATAAACTAGGGCTCAAAATGAAAGAAAGGTCTTCACCCTGCCTGTGAGCTCTATTGTATCCGAGTGTACAGTGAGCAGAGCATGCACAGCTCAGTGTACATACCAGACACTATTCTGCGCCAGGAAGTAGTAACCCCTCCGCCACTCTGGGCCTGTCAATCAAGATGGCTGAAGACTCCAAAACCAGAAGATGGAGTTGTCAGTGAATGAGGGGAACCATGGCCGTTGCACCAATGGAGAAGGGCAATAACAAGGTAAGCAAGCCATAATGTGCACATACGCTCAACATACTTGCACATTGTGGCAAAGGCTCCTGAGGGCCCCAATATTCCCAAGTAGTTTAGTTCCGCTTTCAGTGTATAGGTAATAGCAATCCTTTTGGTCCTGGCCACATCTAGTGGTGTGACCTTCTGACAGAAGTATACGATTCTTATTGGGATACCTTTTCTGTGAAGTCACAGGCTTCTCACAAGTGTAACCATGACTTACTTAATCAGTAGAACTACCGGGGTCACCAGTCTACTGACCCTCTCATTATACGTCTGACACAAAATGGGTTGTGTACAAACTGTGGTGCCTCCCTCCCATAGCTCAGAATGATGGCTCATGTACCTGCCGGCTGAGGTGGCAGTGCGGTCTTGACACAGGGGGTGCAAAGGGGGCATATGGTCAAGTTAACAAATGATGCAACCCATTTACGAAATGTCAGCCAAGATTTGAAATGTTTAGCGGAGTTTGTGTTCACTACGGCAAGCTGATGCTTTGTCTCCCTGGATTGGACAAGTTGAGGCTGTAAGTACCTATTCATGGACCCGTTATCCACAGCCACCATACTTTAAGGTCTCAAGTGCAGTCTGATTGACTACTACTCACCGTGCGTGCTTTTTCCACATATCGCTTGTACCTCTCCTCCATGGCGCGCATGTCTTCCTCCTTCTGTCGCAGGATCTGCTGCAACTCATCCACTTTCTTGGACACTGAGGAAACAGAGCCAGCAAAAAAAATTCAGAGTTAGGACTTACCGGTAACTCTATTTCCATTAGTCTTCCAGGACAGCATCACGAGATGGAATCTCCTCCCCCACACACAGGAAACACGTCAAAATCCCCAGATATCATGACGGATGACATCCCTACAATAGTTACTGAGCAAAGAACTGAATTAAAAAAGAGAACCCCAGGCAGACAGCAAAAAAAAAACAAACACAGTGAATGTGCATCACCTTTCTGGCTGTGCAGTGTGCCAGAGGTGCGGAAATCACAAGACTGACTGGCTAGAATTAAATGTGACGTCTACTTACTGTTCAGGTCAGCTTTGGGCTCCAGTGTCTCTATGTACTCTCTCTTCTTCTGTAGCTCAGAATGGGCATCATGTAGCATCTCGCTGAGGAAGATAAAGATAGTTTAAGAGTTCAATCACTGAGATGTATGTATGTATGTATGTATGTATGTATGCATGCATGTATGTATGCATGTGTTACAAACCACTCAAGGGTGCAAAATTATTGGACAAAACTCTATAGACACAAATATTCTCCTATCAGGTACTGCCATCTTGCCTCCCACACAGTACCCTGCAGAGGTGAAGCCAGGCTGCCAATGATCGGCTGCACATAACACCCTCCACCTCCTGTGTTTAGTCCACTTATGCTGCACATTTAGCAGAAAGGAAGAGAACATTTAAAAAAACAACTAATGGAGTGGGAAGGTATCACTAGGTGTACATGATTGGGGAATGTAAAGGTTTACTTTAACCCCTTTGAGCCGGCATACGACGCCCCACATCAGTGGGTATTACATGGGCTCACGATTGGCTGTCACAGTGATTACGTAATCAGAATCCGGTCCAAACGGCTCACGATTATGACTATGTGACTGGGAGCCATCAGTGACAGGGCAGCCACAATGCTGGGGCCACGTGATAATACACTCTGCCACCACCACAACACAGCAACCCCAGCCAAATGCATATATGTGCCTGCACAGGCCCACCTCCATGATGCCACATATATGTGATCAGCTGGTGGGAAGGGGTTAAAGAGGTCTAGAAGTGTTAAACTCCATTTATAAAATGTATTTTATAAATACAGGGACTGATGGCTTTCAGCACATTAGCTTGTCCAGGGAGGGGTGAGCACGGTTTGAAATATGGAGCTACACTGTAAATATATTTAGGATGTGGTCAGAGCTGGTGCCGGTCACTGGTTTAGCAGCCTAGACCTTCAGGCTCCAACCACATTCTCAATATACACCAATACAAACGTCAGCCATTCATCCAGAACCCCTCAGTACAATATTCGTAAGCCCTAATGAAGGGAACCTCAACAGGAACCCCTGAAACATGTTGGCAGTTTTCTTTATTAGATGGATAAAGAATCACATTTCCAGTCTGGCGCTCTCTCATTTACCTTATCCAAGACCATTATCCAGGAAGCCCTGCCGAGGCTCCCCAGACACTAGAGAGTTGCCTCAGTAATAATTTAGATTGGAACACTCATGTACCTAGCTCGGAGAGCAGTGCACCACCACCGCGCTCTCCTAACCATGTACAGAACTGGCTCCCATGCCAGCAGAAGAGCTGCTTGTTAAAGGATCTTCCACAAGTGACTAAGGGCCGGTTCACATCACAAAGCCTGTGTTCCAGTGTTCGGCCTCTGGAATGCACTGGAGTGCAAGCCAGCCGGCTCCCTGCGTTCAGGGGCGTGGCGGTGCATTGAAGTCAATGGCACAGCAGCCACGCCCCCCCCCCCCCCCCCCCCAGGGGGGCGGG